TGAAGTAATTATTAAGTTATTGGCATTTGATGCATAATCAGATTCGGAATAACACGAATGATGTGTCCTGATCCGTATAAAGGTCCGTGGGGTGGAAGGAACTGTCGTGATTCATTGCTTCAGCCAAAACGCTCATGCGAATGCAATTATTCACAGTGTAAGGTAACGATATCCATTCATACTCGTTTCTCAGGTTTATTATATTGAGGCACAGCAAAAGAAACAATACGATAAAATAACACTGATAACGTTAACATTGATAATGATAAGAATACAAATGTTAATGATAATATGAAAATGAATACAGGCTTGTGATGAGTACATGAACGAATTACACAACGCACTCAAATATGAATACGCAGAAAATGGTGTCGCAGGTATGCTAATTGAATCGATACAAGGTGTTGGTGGAGTGGTACAATTTCCGAAGGAGTTTATCAAGAGAGCATTTGATACGATACACTCCAAAGGCGGTATCTGTATAAGTGATGAGGTACAAACTGGATTCGGACGACTCGGCTCACATTTCTGGGGCTTTCAATCGCAAGATGCTAATCCTGATATTGTCACCATGGCAAAGGTGTCTCATCTCTTTCTGTTTTTCGCTCACTTCTCAGATTATTTTCTTTTAAGTTCAATCTTTTTTCGCTAAATTATCTGGAATAAAGCGATATTTCTGATAATGAGATTTCTGGGAAATAACACTACTCGATTGCTAGATAACAATGTCTTGAATACTTTTTCCTTATTGCTTATCGTCAATGAGTTGTTTCTTTGAGATGATCGCTATGATTTGAAGTGATCAAAAGCATCCCATTGATATTACGAATAGTTATTGTTGTCGAAATTAAGGGCATTGCAAATGGTTTCCCGATGGGTGTTGTGGTAACAACTGAGGAAATAGCAAAAAGTCACTCGAAACCGCTTTATATGAACACATTCGGTGGTAATCCATTGGCTTGTACTGTAGCCAAAGCTGTTCTCGAGGTTACGTATTTGTTTCTTCATTCATTCATTCAAAAGTCCATCATCGATTTTTGTTCATTGTTACTTTGCTGAACACTTTATGATCTGTTGAATAGGTAGATCATAAAGTATTATCCAATTGTTTGAGCAGTTAATAGATAGGAACAGAAATTGGTTATTTGACATTTCAATTTAATATTCTATCCACATGATGAATTTTAAGGTGATTGAGGAAGAAAAGTTGCAAGAGAACAGTGAGAAGATCGGTGAATTTATAATGA